ACTCAGATCAACTTTTTTTTTTTCACTTGTTTCAGTGAAAAAGCTTCAGTGAAAGTTCTAAAGAAACAAGATCTTTCTCTTTGTGGCCTTAAAGTCAACTCTTGACTTTAGATGGAAATTTTGCCATTGTCCTGGTCACCTGAATTCTTACACAGATACATTAATTGAACTTAATCTGTAAACATTTCTGAGAACAATTTTGTGCCAGCTTTTGCTTTTTCATCATTTTTAAGTTATAATCTGCAACTTATTTATAAAGTCAATTTGATTGTTCCCAGTTTACACTTAAAGAAACTGAATCTTAGAAAGCTCATATGAGTTACTTCAAATACAAACCAAAGTCATAGTTCAATTATTCTTTACTATCCATTCGTACCTACTTCATTACAAGAAGTCTCCAAGTTACCAAACAAGTTACGTTCCAAAAGTTCATTTGTAAGTAAGTTATTTGGCACTTGAACTGCTATTTACCACACCGGGGGAAAAATATTATAAATCATGATTAGGTCCCTTGGCTGACCTGCAAAAATATATTTAACTCTTAAGTAACTACAAAATGATGCTTTGGCAATAAAAATAAGAGAGAATGATAGTTTTCATTCTTGTTACACAGAAAAATAGAAATTATTTTTCTTGATGAGAAACAGAGTCAATGAGAAGACAGGGAAACAGAGATTTTTTGGAGTGTCTAGAGGGGGTCTCAGGGTACTTTCACAAGCATTCAAGGTTGATGTCACTCTGAAAGTCAGTTTCACTTGAAAACCTTGAAGATTTTTGTTAGATACTTCTCACTAGCCTAACTCACCTGATACCTATGATTAGAAGCAGTAAGCCTGATTGAATTAAGCCAAAATAGACTCTCTGAAATGATATTAACCTACCTAGTATGGCCAGAACAAACCAATAGACCAGAAAAAGAGTATTCCTGTTCTGTCTATCTTGATGAAAGGGCCAGGAGGAAGTCCTGATTTTCTCAGCAGATCTCATCAGCTCCAGTAGCTTGGCTGAGGTCTACAGAGAAGTCTTGGGAACATGAGTCATGGGTAAAGGCAAGAGAAAGCATGTGCCTTCCATGATTTCTCTAGAGCATTTGTACAACGAGAGTTTCTGATGCTGAGAAATGACTACATTTATCTCATCAAGAGATTACTTCTTACATTTTCTAGATGGTCTTTCACTTAACTGTGAAAATAAACATCTTAAATTTCAGGTAACTTTTTAAAAGTCCGGTGCCTTTTTAGATGGCCCCTGATTAGTATGTTTTATCATTTTTAGAACATTTGCACACAGCTTTTTGTTTTGTTAACAACAGAAGGAAGGTTATATCCTTCAGTAAATGGAAACTTAAGATAGCAGATCTTGCTGAGATGGCAGATTAAGAAAGTGATAGAAAGAAAATTAGTCTGTGCCTCCTGGGTCAGTTTAGGGCTCTTAACCAGTTTATCTACACTGTCTTCCCACTAGTTGGATAATACATTTAACCTCTGTGTTGGGGATATCATGTGAATGTTTTATAGTGTATATTTATACCCAGGAGTGATTTAACTGAAGGACAGGACAATGTTTTGCTACAATTGAAAATCTTTCTCAGTGGTCATTATAATAGGAACTTGGGACTGGCAGACCACTTTCAAAAGTGATGGTAAGGCTGATGAGAGAAGTAGCATCTACTTTATTTATATATATGTTTGGTATTTACAAATGCCTTATCTTTTCCACTAAAATGGTTTATAAAGAAAATTTTTAATGTCCACATTTATTCTTCCATTTCTAATAGTGTTGATGTTTATATAGCTTTGTGTGTGTGTGTGTGTGTGTTTGATGAGCTGTGTCTGAAAGAAAAATAAGTTGGGAACTACCTTGGCTGTCTAGTGGTTAAGACTTTGCTTTTCAGTATAGGAGGTATGGGTTTGATCCTTGGTTGGAGACTTAAGATCCTGCATGCCTCATGGCCCAAAAACCAAAACAGAAAACAGAAATAATATTGTAAAAAATAGAGTTTAAAAATGGTCCACATAAGATTTCTTAAAAAGCTGGAAATAGAACTGCCATATGACCCAGCAATCCCACTTCTGGGCATACACACTGAGGAAACCAGATCTGAAAGAGACACGTGCACCCCAATGTTCATCGCAGCACTGTTTATAATAGCCAGGACATGGAAGCAACCTAGATGCCCATCAGCAGATGAATGGATGAGGAAGCTGTGGTACATATACACCATGGAATATTACTCAGCCATTAAAAAGAATTCATTTGAATCAGTTCTAATGAGATGGATGAAACTGGAGCCCATTATACAGAGCGAAGTAAGCCAGAAAGATAAAGACCATTACAGTATACTAACACATATATATGGAATTTAGAAAGATGGTAACGATAACCCTATATGCAAAACAGAAAAAGAGACTCCGATGTATAGAACAGACTTGTGGACTCTGGGAGAAGGCGAGGGTGGGATGTTTCAAGAGAACAGCATCGAAACACGTATATTATCTAGGGTGAAACAGATCACCAGCCCAGGTTGGGTGCATGAGACAAGTGCTCGGGCCTGGTGCACTGGGAAGACCCAGAGGGATCGGGTGGAGAGGGAGGTGGGAGGGGGGACGGGGATGGGGAATACATGTAAATCCATGGCTAATTCATTTCAATGTATGACAAAAACCACAGCAATGATGTAAAGTAATTAGCCTCCAACTAGTAAAAATAAATGGAAAAAAAAAAAAAGAAAAAAAAAATGGTCCACATAAAAAAACCTAAAACAAAAACAAAAAAGCTAAAAATGAAGATAATAAGTCAGAAATGCTAAATTTGCATCGTGGTACAATGATGTTCCTTGGAAGAATAGCTGTGTCAAACTTAGACAGTGTTTTATAAAGCAGAGACATCACCTTGCCAACAGAGGTCTGTTTAGTCAAAGCTATGGTTTTTCCAGTAGTCATGTATGGATTGAGAGTTGGACCATAAAGAAGGCTGAGCACCAAAGAATTGACGCTTTCGAACTGTGGTGCTGGAGAAGACTCTTGAAAGTCCCTTGGACTGCAAGGAGATCAAACCAGTCAATCCTAAAGGAAATCAACCCTGACTATTCATTGGAAGAACTGATGCTGAAGCTGAAGCTCCAGTACTTTGGCCATCTAATGCAAAGAGCTGACTCATTGGAAAAGGCCCTGATGCTGAGAGAAATTGAGGGCAAGAGGAGAAGGGGGCAACAGGATGAGAAGGTTGGATGACATCACTGACTCAGTGGACATGAGTTTGAAGAAACTCAGAGAAATGGTGAAGGACAGAGAAGCCTGCTGTGCTGCAGTTCATGGGGTCACAAAGAGTTGGACATGACTTAGCAACTGAACAACCACAACAGCAAAGAGTATCTTCTGGGTATTAGTATTCAGATTGAAACATTATGCATTGCTCTGGCATTCTCTGCTCAGAAAGGTGCCTTTTGAGTAGTTTGTAATCTGGGTGAAAATATGCATAGGAATCATCTTCAGGGGTGATGATTTCTTCTGGTACCTGTGTGTCTGCCAGAGGTAGGGAGGGACTGGAGAGAGATTTCTCCTGAAGTTGTTTTGTCTACTCAGAAGAATGACGTGCCTGAAGGGTTAGTGAGCCAAACAATGGTTTTCTTTTTTTACTCTTGGCATCATGTATAGGTCAAATAAACCAATAGCATTTGATAACCCATTTTTCTTACTGCATTTACAGATTTTCTATGTGTGTTGGTCAGAAGGTGGTAAAGTAAGAAAGAAGGTTGTTTTGCTTTTGTTTGTTGACTAGGCAGAAAAAACTATAACTGGTAATTTGAACACTAATTTTTCCTTTATATTTAAGGCCTGGACCCTTTGGTGGAGGGGGAAAAAATTAATAAAAAAATCTTACTTGACGCAAATCCCAGCCATAGTACTATTTTTCTTATGTGCAAGCAATACTACCCTATAGGACATAACAGAAAACAAGTTAATAATATCATGGCAACTTATGTTTATTATTTTTTTAGCATTACAGTTGTTGGTTTAGGGGATAAATCTTTTGCATCTGATATCTTGGTGGCCACAATTCTTAGCTTAGCTGATTGGTTTCTATTTTCTTTTGTTTATTCTTATTCTAAGACCTGAGTGACTTAGACGGAAAATCTTATTTCCTTGACACTTTTAAAAGATGTAAGAGATTCTTAAGATTATTCACATTATCTTAACCCACACAACTAATTGCCCTCACAAATAATCACCCTCGCCCTTCATTTGCCTATTGTTTCTGTATCAGAACATCTCAAGCATGATATTATTGAAAAGCTGAAAAATGATATTGGTATCCCCTCTCTATTCTACCACCTCCCCACCCCCATCCTAAAATATTCTAATTCTTTTTTTTTTTTTAATTTATTTGACTGCATCTTGTCTTAGTTGTGGCTCATGGGCTCCAGAGCCTGCTCAGTAGTTGGGGCGCATGGATTTAGTTGCCCTGTGGTTTGTGGATTCCCCAACCAGTGATGGAACCAATGTCCCCTACATTGCAAGGTGGCTTCTGAACCACTGGACCACCAGGGAAGTCCCCAAATGTTCTGACTCTTAACTGATGATTTTCACATCTAGGATGAGGAGAGAAGATAGATACTGAAAATAGAGGTGGGGCAGGGAGGAAGGCATGGCAGCCCACTCCAGTATTCTAGCCTGGGGAATCCCCATGGACAGAGGAGCCTGGCGGGCTGCAGTCCCTGGGGCTGCAGAGAGTCAGACATGGCTGAGTGACTCAGCACACAGGGAGGAGGTGGTCAATGGGACGGGAGAGGGCTCTGCCTGGTGTGGCTGGGAGCAGAGAAGAGGGCTAACTTACCAGCTGGTTCTGTTGCACAAGTGGCAGGGCTTCCCCTAAAGCTTTCACAACTCCTGCAAGAACCCTTGTCTTCAAAGAGCTGTTTTAAAATATTTTTCCCGTCTTTTCTACGTAATTGTCTACCTGACTGTAAGTGGTTGATTTTATATCGTTTCCTTTCTTAGGGTCAGGAAACTGGAGCATGGCTATGAGCAACGGAAACAGCGATTTTATGGTTCTGAGCAATGGCAGCATCACAACCAGTGCTACCACCCCTTCTCCCCTCACCGCCGGTGATGGAGACCTTGCAGCCCAGCAGCTCACACCCAAAGAAGCACCCAGAACAAAAGTGAGTCCAAATGGATGCCTGCAAGTTAATGGCACAGTTAAATCATCCTTTCTGCCTTTAGACAACCAAAGAACGCCTCCGGTGTTACCCCAGTGCTGCCATCCTTGCCCATACCATCACCCTTTGACTTCCCATGACAGTCACCAAGAGTGCCATCCCGAGGCTGGCCCCGCAGCACCTCCTGCTTTGGCCTCGTGTTGCATGCAGCCACACTCAGAGTACTCTGCATCTCTCTGTCCAAACCATTCACCTGTTTATCAGACAACGTGCTGTCTTCAGCCCTCTCCATCCTTCTGCCTGCATCATCCGTGGCCTGACCATTTTCAGCATCAGCATGTGCCGCAGCACATAGCCAACATCAGGTGAGTGGTCCACAAGGTTTGCTGGACTTTAGCATTCAGCTAATTCCATATGAATGTGACTGCTTGTGTTGATTTCTCCAAAAGGAGGAGAGAAGAATGTATCGGGAAAAGGGAATTAATGAAACTGCTTACTGATGGTGTGAAGGCTATTAAAATGCAAATGAAGTATTATTTAACCTGTTTATCCATTGACTTCTTAGTCAGTTAAACCCTCTCTTCCTTTTTTTCTTGTTGGTAAGCTGGTTAGGTGTCCCTGCTAGAACTTGAAGTATAAAGTTCAGTAAAAGATTTTATTGTCAGTAATTTCTATTATTAAACATGGGAGATGGATATATTTGTGATGAGGCTGCCTAAACAGGAGTCTTTATTTGCTACTGTTGATAGTGATCAACATTTATGAAAAAGAAGTGTAAAACCAAGTGCCTCATTACTGCTGTACTCACAGTTTCTATGCAAATGGTTGGACTGACTATGTAGTATATTGAGATGATACAAAAGCAACAATTTGTTTCACAGCAGGTAGGACCTATAAATCTGTAGCATAGGACTTTAAAAAAATGTGTTTTGTAAAATAAAGCATGTTCAGATCTGATAGGTTGAAAAATACTAGAAAATCTCTGGCATTGCCAGTTCTCCTTCCTATCTCAGGCGATGACTTCTCTGATATGTGCTTTCCAGCTTTTTTTTTTCCATGAGTAAGTTTAAAGTCACACATACTGCAGGTGAGCAATCATAACATATTTTATAAAATCCTAAGTACTTAACAGAGACCAAGAATTATATTTTTTGGTAATGAAAAGTCTTAAAAGAGCTAGAAGAGGACATTCTCTTTTAAAATTAGGGTATGATTTTTATACAGGGAAATGCATATATCTTAAGTGTATGGTTTGATCAGCTTTGACAAATGTATGCAGTGGTATAATGCATACCTCGGTCAGATGTAAAATATTTCTGTGCCACTGCTTATCCATTCCTTCTCTCTTCACCAGAAGCACTGTTCTGAGTTTTGTTACCATAGATTTTTTTTGTTTGCTTTAAAACTTCATATGAACAGAATCATACAGTAGGTACCCTTTTGTATCTGACAATTTTGACTCTTAACATTTTTGAGACTATCTAACTGCTGTGTGTGTTACTTCCCCTTTTTATTGCTGAGTAGTAACTCATCGTGTGCAGGTGGCAAATTCACTTGTAAGTAAAGGAGCACAAACTTCCAGTTCTAAAATAAATAAGTCATGAGGATGTAACGCACGATGTGGTGACCATAGTTAATAATACCGTATTGTACAGTTGAAAGTTGCTAAGATAGTAGATCTTAAAAGTTCTCATCACAAGAAAATTAATTTGTAAATATGTGGTAATGGATGGTAAGCAAACATAATGTGGTGATCATTTGGCTGTATATACAAATATCGAATCATTATGTTGTACACTTGAAACTAATGTTATATGTCAATTGTATCTCAATTTTTTTTAAATCACATCCAGACAGGGATTAAGTAATAAACACTTTTCACTTTTATCAGGTTTTAGATGCTGCTTAGATTATCTGGTTTCAGTCCTTTGAAAAGAGAGGAAGAGAAAGATGGGGAAAAGGACAGGGATGGGAGGGAGGGCATGGAGATCCTCTGCAGCGTGTTTCTACAGTTGCTGAATAGTTTTTTTATATCAGATGTGAGAATCTTTTAGTTTATAGAACTATGGTAAAAGCACTCACTAAAGCCATTTCTTATAAGATTGGTCCTGACAGCATTGTGCTGCATGGCTAGTTTCAGACTCTTTCCACTTTGAATGAAACAGTATAAGTGATTAATTTTAAAATTATATGGTCGTAAATATTGATATTTTAGAATCATAAATTATATGGTTTCAGGATGTGAGATGATGTTTTGAAGCTGATCCCTCCTTTAAAAACTGTCACACACACACAAAAAAAACTGTCACAAACTAGTAGAACAATGGGCAAGAGACCAATTGTTTCAACATGACAGACATATCAGTACTTTCAGGATTCTGACTTAACATTTCTCAATGATCTAATTTTAAAGGAATGAGAGTCCTATATGCATATGACTTTAAATAGAATGGTATTAAAAAGACAAACTGATTTTTTAAAAGTATCATATTTGCCCATCAGGAAAAACTGTAGAAGAAACTGGAATATTATGTGAGAAATTTTTCATATGAGAATTTTATCTCAAGAATTTGAACCTTTTGATGAACCATTTGTAACAGACATAGAATTTTTTAAAGATGCCTGTGAAGGAATGGTATGTGTCCAGTTGTGTATATTACATACTTTATTGTAAAATATGTGCTTCCAGAAATTCTTCCCTATCTGCTACAATTATGTATTTAACATTTATATAATCAGTAGTATTTACTGAATATTTATGTGTGCCAGGCACCAAAGATATAATTCCAAGTGAGATGAGACTTTTTTTTTTCCTTCATAAAACTGTAAGCTAGTAGGGAGGGAGACAGAAAAGCAAACAGGCGGCTACAGGCAGCTCTTATCTCTTATTGTGATAAGAGACACCAAGAAGGGGTGAAAATGAAAAATGTTACAAATGGAAAACAGGTGGTCTGGTTGACAGTGGGAATGGTCTGTGTAAAGACTTACAAAGTGGTGTGAACCCAACTCCAGCATGGTTGAGTACGACTAGGCGCTGGAGAAGAAGGTGTACTAGCAAGGGGAGAGGTACTGGGACTAACTCCTGAGAGGCATGTGAATCACCTGAGGTTTCTGGACGGTATCCTGAGCCAGTGAGAGGCAGTGTGGATGTTTGTGTGTGCGTGACTTTTTTATTGTGAAAAAAATATGCGGAACATAAAATGTATCATTTGAATCATTCCTGTGAGTACAGTTCAGTAGCATTAAGTACATTCGCATTGTTGTGCAACCATCACCACCATCCCTTCTCCAGTACATCCATCATCTTCCCAAACTGAAACTCCATACCTATTAAACAATAATTTCCCATTCTTCCCTCCCCAGCCCTTGGCAACCACCATTCAACTTTCTATCTCCATGAATTTGGCCACTCTAGGTACCTCATATGAATGGAATCATACAGTATTTGTTCCTTCGTGATTGATTACACTTAGCATAATGTCTTCAAGGTTCATCCAAGTTATAGCATGTATCAAAATTTTCTCCCTTAGAAAGGCTGATTAATACCCCATTGTATGTATATACCACATTATTTTCATCCACTTATCTGTCAGTGGACACTTGGATATTGTGAACAGTGCTGCTCTGACCATGGGTGTTACAGATACCTGTTTGAGTTCCTGCTTTCACTTTTGGTTACATACCCAGAAGTTAATTACTGGATCATGTGGTAATTCTATGTTTAACTTCTTGAGAATCCACCACACTGTTTCCACAGCTGCTCTGCACATCCTTGCCAACACTTGTTCTTTTCTGTTTTTTTTTTAATTGTTTTATAATAGCCGTCCTAATAGTGTGACATTATAGATTTTTAAGCAGAAAATAATTCAGATTCATATTTTAGAGAGGTCTGTAACCTGCATTGTGGAGAGTAGATTGAACTGGGTCAGGACTGTCATAGAGAGAAAGACCTTTAGAAGCCTTGATGCAGGTGAGAGAAGGTGATGACTTGATCCAGGATTTAGAAATAATTTCACGTGAGAAAGATTTATGAGGTAGAATCTACTAGGTTTGGTGAGCTACTGGTCATGGGGGAGGAAGAGAAGGAGAATCACAGCTGACTTGCAGTTTTCTGGTTTGAGCAACTAAGCAGGTAGATGGGGATGCCAGTCACTAAAATGGGGAGTATAGAAGAAGGCGTAGCAAGCAGAGCTTCTGGGGTTGGGGGTGGGTAGCAACAATGGAAGAGTGCTGTCCTTTGAGCTTTCTTGAACGAATAAGGATGCTGAGTTATACATGACAGTTACACTGAGGGTAACGATACTGTTGGAGGTGATCGTAGGATGAAAACTGGAGCATTTAGACTCAGCCCAGCATGCATGTATTTGCAGCATTGTACTATGGACAAGGCACTAAGCCAGGTGCTGTGTCTGTCTTTCCCAAGTCAGGAAGACATCCACTGAAACAAATGTGGATGTGGATATAGCTACCGTGTAAGAGCAGGACAGTTTGGGATAGAATACACAGGATGGTCTCACTAGGAAATGCTGAATGTGAGGATGTTGTGTGATGCTTTGCTGCCTTTTATTAGTTACTCTTCCCAACACCTGTAGGACAGTTATTAGAAGAAAGATTCTAGAGGCTGTTCCTTTACCAGGAACGCTGATTCTCTAAGTCTTTTTATTTTCTTTTTGTGATTTCTTGCATGTTGCTTTTTTAAAAATTGATACTCTCAATTGATACTTAATGAAATATTCAATTAATGTTTAAGATGTGCTTCTGACTTGATAATAGTATAGAATGTTCACATCACTGTAAGATTGTCTTAAAGGTTAACAGCCTTGTAGTAAAATTATGTATAGATGGAAGATCCCAGACACTTTAAATTGCTATTCCTTTTTGCACCTACAAATGCACCCACCTGGTTGGTATTTTAAAGTTGTTGTTTGTTTATAAAGTACTTAAGCCACATCGAATGTCTTAAAAAGCCAATCAAATAGAAAACATAATTTTATCCCAGCTCATTTGCCACCTCCTTTCAGTTGTTCATATTCTCATTTCTCTTTTCCCCACCATCTGTACTACAGTAGGTTATCTTTCATTGTTTCTTGACTCTTTAAGTTGTAATAAATCTTTCTAAAAGATTCATTATAGTCAATCACTCGTGTGTGTTTTTTTGCTGTTTTTAAAATTATCTGTTAATCATCTGACTGATTAAGATCATTACAAGGGTCACATTTAGTATATTCTCTTTTGATTCTATTTATCACCACATATCAAGTAGTTCAACTTGATCTCATTTTAAAGCTTCTGGCTTTTTCATTTATAGATTCCTATCCTCATGCCCATCAATCAGCTGATAATTAATTGGAAACACTAAGGATTA